ACAGCCGGAACCTCACATCCTTTTTCTCAAAGGAAATAAATGTAAAATCTCCATATTACAGGCTCCAGCAAGTAATTAGTACAAATTACTCACCTAACCAAGTGCCTCGCCAACCCAGACCGAGTTTTTGGTTCTGCCCCCAAGGATGCACTTTCCGCATCCTATCTAGGCTTACAGCAATAGACTCTATTACCAGTTCACAAGATCTCTTTGCTTAAGAAATCATTCATTAACATTTTGAAATCGTTAATACGACCCCACGAACTACTCAAGCCACGGGCCCCATGACTGGACATGCCATGAGGTTCCATGACTAAACAAGCCATGGTTTTCAAAACATTTTCTTTCGCAAACCAATCCCTTTCTTTAAAACATTTTCAAGGCCAAAATCCTTTTGAAAACAGGCTCACAAGGAAAAGGGATAGAAATCCTACCTTGCACTATCAAACCTGGGACTAGCATTGCCTTTTCCGGCTTCCACTTCCTCAAGCCCCTTTAGTCTGAATCCTCAGCGATCACTGGTGCAAGATAACACTTTAGGATCAATTCTCATTCCTAATGCAATCCAAATCTCAATTTCCAACCAAGATTTCCTATTAGTGTGCCCTAATCCATTTTCATGTTTCAAAATATCATTCCAAGGGTTTTCAATCTCAAAATAAGGATTAAAGATGCTAATGCATTCATCTCAAGCCCCCAAATGAAGCTAATTTGGGTTCTCCCCGAAAACAGGGGTCAAAATAGCAATTTCAGGCCAAACAGGGTCAAATCCCGTGTCAACCGGTCAGTCGGTGACAGAGTAGTGCAACACCACCGGTCGACCGGCAGTGTGCACACCGGTCGACCGGACAGCCTGCAATCCGGTCGACCGCATTGGTCAACCGGTTTCCATGTGATCTAGTCGACCGCACAGGTCGGCCGGTGGAATCAGCTGCGCGAGAGAAGCTCACGAAAATCAGTCCAAAACCTGCAAATCCAATCCCAAATTGAGATATTTCAAAGGAAAACCACTAGATCTGGGCTCTAGGTCCTAAAACAAGTCCAAAGAACCCAAGATCTCCAATTTCTACTATAGTTTTACTAAAAAACCATCAAAATCCGGTTTGAACCAAAAATAAGTTTTGAAATTCAAAACCTTGAGATTCAAGAGAGGTTATTTCAGTAATCTTACCTCGAATCCTTCTCTTGACGTTGAAAACTTCTTTAAATCATTCCTTGGTTCAAGATCCGTTTGATTTGGGACAAAAAATGAGAGAGAGAGAGAGAGAGAGAGAGAGATGCACGGGAGAAAGAGAGAGAGGGAGTGAGAAAGATGCACGGGAAGGAAGGAAGGAAAAGAAAAAGAAAGAAAAGAAAAGAAAAAGAAAAAGGGAGAAAAATGGACAAGTGTCAATATTTTAAAGAGCGGTCCAGAAATGCGCCCATACACTTCTGGGTTAAAATAAATTATTGAGAATAATTTAAATACCTTGGAACTATTTAAACTCACGCGTGTCAGAAACATTTATTAATTAAACTCAATTAATAATCCAGATTAGGCACACTAATAATCTCAATTACCTTAATTAATCTCAATTAATTCTTCAGGGTGTTACAGCTCCACCCCCCTTAGGCAATTTCGTCCCTGAAATTAAAGCCTACCTCAAAGCGTGAACAGATGTGGATACTGGTCCTGCATCATCGTTTCAAGCTCCCATGTCGCTTCCTCAACTCCATGGTGCTGCCATAACACTTTCACTAATAGGATCTCACGGACGCAGACTTTCTTTATTTTTCGGTTAAGAATCTGAACTGGTGCCTACTCGTATGACGCGTCATACTGTATCGGAACGTCAAACCACTGCACTACTGCTTCCGGCTCAGGTTGACATTTCCGAAGCATGGAGACATGAAACACGTCATGCACGTGAGATAATTCAGGCGGTAAAGCCAATCGGTAAGCCACCACTCTGATTCGTTGCACGATCGGGAATGGTCCTACATACCTTGGTGCAAGTTTCCCTTTCACACCAAACCGAACAACTCCCTTGCGTGGGGAAACCCTCAGCAAAACAAAGTCGCCTTCCTAGAATTCCAAAGGCCTACGCCTTCTGTCAGCATAACTTTTCTGACGACTTTGAGCTGTCAACAGTC